CAGCATGCATCCATGATGTTGTGTGGATGTGCCGATGCCAGAACAGCGTGTTGGTAATTACAAGCCCATTCATTGGCTGCACAAAAATCTAGCAGCCTCCTACCATTGTTATTGAGCTGATCTGGCCCATGCCTTCCAATCACTCCAGACCAGGTGCCAGCATCATGACTAACTCGGGCATTGAAGTCACCCAACAAAATGACTCTATCCCTAGTGGCCACTTTAGCCAGCACCTGTGACAGGAGGTCATAGAAGGTATCTGACTCATCGTCCTTGCCTGCATCCCTCCAATGATTTTCTTCGGTGGGGGCAGAAGTAACCATGACCACCACTCCTTACCTCTGGTTGATGGGAAGGCAAGCCCAAAGTAGCCTGGGGCTAACAGCTTCCCACACCTCACCGCCACGCTCCCACGCTGCCTTCATTCTTTCGTTGAAAATAAGAGCCACACCCTGTTGTTTGGCAGTCTCCTGCCCCGAGTAGAGGACTGTCCACCCCTCATGGTGGCAGGAGCCAGAGCCGCTCCACCGGACCTCCAGAATGCCACAGAGATCCAGGCAGTACCGGTCAAGCTCCTGACAGAGGAGTGGCAGCCTCTCCTCCGAAGTGAGCGTTCGAACATTCCACGTGGCCACCCGCAGTGGCTTTTTGCTGTTTCTAGAGGAACCCCAGGGGTAAAGATTCAATCTCCTGGCTCCGCCAAATGGGGTTTGGCCAGGAGACATCATAGATTCCTGTCCCCCCGAGGCCTCAGGCACAGGCTTAGTTGGATATTTTTTTCGTGGTAATTTATTGAATGTGGGGGGATTAACGGCCCCTCGCACCCGTCCAGAGCCCCCTTTGGCCGCTGTGGTGGCTACAAACGCCAAGAGGGGAATGGCCAATCCAAATAGGCCCTCCATGGCACTGCTCACCACAGCATTACCGTCCAGCACCAATGAGGAGGTCGGGGGTTGTTTTGCCGGACACAACAACAACCGCCATTCGCCACTAAGTGACGGTGACGTCACCACGACGCTTGTGCCAGGCCACGTGCACCTTGAGGCCACGTGAAGTGTCGAACGCCCGTGGGCAGGAGGTCACAGGGCAGATCCAGCAGGTGCCACGGGTCGACTGACTGAGATGACTGGCTGATGCACCACCTGTGCACCCTACTGTGCCAACCTGCTGTGCTTTAGCCACCCGGCGCTCCGCTCGTTGTTGTGAGCGTCGCTGCTCCGCCCTCCGTTGTTGTTGGAGGGCGACTGCCTCCTACTGCCCAGTAGCGTCCTTCACGAGCCTCCTCCACAGAGGCCGATCTTGACACCGCTGGTACCAGTCATCGGCAAGTCCACTCAGCTCCACTTCCTCTTGTACGACGTCACTCCATCTTTTCTCTTGCCCGTACCGTGCCCGCTTGGCCCCCTCGATGCGGCCGAACAAAAGCTGTTTAGGCATGCGGTGGCTGGGCATGCGGGCTACATGACCCAGCCAACGCAGCCTTGCCTGCCGGAGGAGCTCACCGATGGGACTTTGTCCAGATCTTTCAAGGATTTGTGAGCTCCTCACACAATCCAGCCTGGTTAAACCCAGGCTGGATCGTAGGCAGGCCTGCCTAATTGTTTCCTACCTGGCGATGATGCTCCATTAGGGGGGTCCACGTTTCGCAAGCGTAGAGAAGGGAGGGAATGACCGTGGCCGAGAAGACCTGAAGCTTAGTGCGGAGCGACAGACCAGGTAGCTTCCACACAGCGTTACGCAACCGATGAATAGATATTGCCGCTCGACTGATTCGGAGTGAGACCTCTGCTGTTAAACTGGAGCCAGTCATAAGCACACTGCCCAGGTATGGGAAACTCTCCACTCTCTCCACAACTGCCACATCACCTATTGGAGTTGTGGGGGCGGAGTGTCCGATGGTACAAAATACCCAGGCAGCTGATTAGTTTTGGTGGGGCTGATGGTAAGGCCCCACCTCTTAGTGGCACACTCCAGTCTCAGCAGCAGCGTCTCCAACTCCTCCTCTGACTGAGCAGCTATTACCAAATCATCAGCATACATAACGTGGTTGAGCAATAGCCTGTACCACACACACGCACAGCCTGTACCACACACACGCACAGCCTGTACCACACACACGCACACACAGCCTGTACCACACACACACACAGCCTGTACCACACACACACACAGCCTGTACCACACACACACACAAGCTGTATTACACACACACACACACAGCCTGTACCACACACACACACACAGCCTGTACCACACACACACACACAGCCTGTACCACACACACACACAGCCTGTACCACACACACACACAAGCTGTATTACACACTCACACACACAGCCTGTACCACACACACACACAGCCTGTACCACACTCACACACAAGCTGTATTACACACTCACACACAGCCTGTACCACACACACACGCACAGCCTGTACCACACACACACGCACAGCCTGTACCACACACACACGCACAGCCTGTACCACACACACACACACAGCCTGTACCACACACACACACAAGCTGTACCACACACACACACAGCCTGTACCACACACACACACAGCCTGTACCACACACACACACACAAGCTGTACCACACACACACACAGCCTGTACCACACACACACACAGCCTGTACCACACACACACACAGCCTGTACCACACACACACACACAGCCTGTACCACACACACACACAAGCTGTACCACACACACACACAGCCTGTACCACACACACACACAGCCTGTACCACACACACACACAGCCTGTACCACACACACACACACAGACTGTACCACACACACACAAGCTGTATTACACACTCACACACAGCCTGTTCCACACACTCACACACAGCCTGTACCACACACACACACACAAGCTGTACCACACACACACACACAAGCTGTATTACACACACACACACAGGCTGTACCACACACACACACAGCCTGTACCACACACACACACAGCCTGTACCACACACACACACAAGCTGTATTACACACTCACACACAGCCTGTACCACACACACACACAAGCTGTATTACACACACAGCCTGTACCACACACACACACACAGCCTGTACCACACACACACAGGCTGTATTACACACACACACACAGCCTGTACCACACACACACACACAAGCTGTATTACACACACACACATAAGCTGTATTACACACTCACACACAGCCTGTACCACACACACACACACAGCCTGTACCACACACACACACAAACTGTACCACACACACACACAGCCTGTACCACACACACACACAGCCAGTACCACTCACACACACACGGCCTGTACCACACACACACACAAGCTGTATTACACACTCACACACAAGCTGTATTACACACTCACACACAGCCTATACCACACACACACACACAGCCTGTACCACACACACACACAGCCTGTACCACACTCACACACAGCCTGTACCACACACACACACACACAGGCTGTATTACACACACACACACAGCCTGTACCACACACACACACACAGCCTGTACCACACACACGCACACACAGCCTGACCACACACACACACAGCCTGTACCACACACACACACACACAGCCTGTACCACACACACACACAGCCTGTACCACACACACACACAAGCTGTATTACACACTCACACACAGCCTGTACCACACACACTCACACACAGCCTGTACCACACACACACACAAGCTGTACCACACACACACACACATAGCCTGTACCACACACACACACAAGCTGTACCACACACACACACACAAGCTGTACCACACTCACACAAAGCCTGTACCACACACACGCACAGCCAGTACCACACACACACACAGCCTGTACCACACTCACACACAGCCTGTACCACACACACACACAGCCTGTACCACACACACACACACAAGCTGTATTACACACACACAAGCTGTATTACACACACACACAAGCTGTATTACACACTCACACACAGCCTGTACCACACGCACACACAGCCTGTACCACACACACACACACAGCCTGTACCACACACACACACACAGACAGTACCACACACACACACAAGCTGTATTACACACTCACTCACAAGCTGTATTACACACTCACACACACAGCCTGTACCACACACACACACACAGGCTGTATTACACACACACACAGCCAGTAACACACACACACACACACAGGCTGTATTACACACACACACAGCCAGTACCACACACACACACACAGCCTGTACCACACACACACACAGCCTGTACCACACACACACACAAGCTGTACCACACACACACACAAGCTGTACCACACACACACACAAGCTGTATTACACACACACACACACAAGCTGTACCACACTCACACACAGCCTGTACCACACACCCACACACACAGCCTGTACCACACTCACACACAGCCTGTACCACACACCCACACAAGCTGTATTACACACACACACACAGCCTGTACCACACTCACACACAGCCTGTACCACACTCACACACAGCCTGTACCACACACACAGCCTGTACCACACACACACACAGGCTGTATTACACACACACACACAGCCTGTACCACACACACACACACACAAGCTGTACCACACACACACACAGCCTGTACCACACACACACACAGGCTGTATTACACACACACACACACAAGCTGTATTACACACACACACACACAGCCTGTACCACACACACACACAGCCTGTACCACACACACACACACACAAGCTGTACCACACACACACACACAAGCTGTACCACACTCACACACAGCCTGTACCACACACACAGCCTGTACCACACACACACACAGCCTGTACCACACACACACACAGCCTGTACCACACACACACACAGCCTGTACCACACACACACACAGCCTATACCACACACACACACACAAGCTGTACCACACACACACACACAGAGACCCACATCCTCACCACTGCTCACTGCCGCTCCCCCCAGGTGCGGGAGCTGAAGGTGAGGATTGAGGAGGAGCGAGGCAGTGAGGCCTTCCCAGCCGACTCCCAGAAGCTCATCTACGCCGGTACCACCTACTCACCTGCCTACTCACCTACCTACTCACCTACCTACTCACCTACTCACCTACCTACTCACCTACCTACTCACCTGCTCACCTAACTGCTCACCTACTCACCTACCTACTCACCTACTCACCTGCTCACCTACCTACTCACCTAACTGCTCACCTACCTACTCACCTGCTCAACTACCTACTCACCTACCTACTCACCTACCTACTCACCTGCTCACCTAACTGCTCACCTACCTACTCACCTACTCACCTACCTACTCACCTACCTACTCACCTACCTACTCACCTACTCACCTGCTCACCTACCTACTCACCTACCTACTCACCTACCTACTCACCTGCTCACCTAACTGCTCACCTACCTACTCACCTACCTACTCACCTACCTACTCACCTACTCACCTACCTACTCACCTGCTCACCTAACTGTTCACCTACCTACTCACCTACCTACTTACCTACTCACCTGCTCACCTACCTACTCACCTAACTGCTCACCTACCTACTCACCTACTCACCTGCTCACCTACCTACTCACCTACCTACTCACCTACCTATTCACCTGCTCACCTAACTGCTCACCTACTTACTCACCTACCTACTCACCTACTCACCTGCTCACCTACCTACTCACCTATCTACTCACCTACCTACTCACCTACTCACCTGCTCAGCTACCTACTCACCTACCTACTCGCCTACCTACTCACCTACTCACCTGCTCACCTAACTGCTCACCTACCTACTCACCTACCTACTCACCTACTCACCTGCTCACATACCTACTCACCTACTCACCTGCTCACATAACTACTCAGCTGCTCACCTACCTACTCACCTAACTGCTCACCTACTCACCTGCTCACCTACCTACTCACCTGCTCACATACCTACTCACCTAACTGCTCACCTACTCACCTGCTCACATACGTACTCACCTGCTCACATACCTACTCACCTGCTCACATACCTACTCACCTAACTGCTCACCTACCTACTCACCTGCTCACATACCTACTCACCTACCTACTCACCTGCTCACATAACTACTCACCTGCTCACCTACCTACTCACCTAACTACTCACCTACCTACTCACCTGCTCACCTAACTGCTCACCTACCTACTCACCTGCTCACATAACTACTCACCTGCTCACCTACCTACTCACCTAACTGCTCACCTACCTACTCACCTACCTACTCACCTACTCACCTACCTACTCACCAACCTACCGCCTACTCACCTGCTCACATACCTACTCACCTACCTACTCGCCTGCTCACGTAACTACTCACCTGCTCACCCACCTACTCGCATACCTACTCACCTACCTACTCACCTAGCTACCCACCTACTCACCTGCTCACCTACCTACTCACCTAACTGCTCACCTACCTACTCACCTGCTCACATACCTACTCACCTACCTACTCACCTGCTCACATACCTACTCACCTACCTACTCACCTACCTATTCACCTACCTACTCACCTACCTACTCACCTACCTACTCACCCACCTACTCACCTACCTACTCACCTACTCACCTACCTACTCACCTGCTCACCCACCTACTCACCTGCTCACATACCTACTCACCTGCTCACCCACCTACTCGCATACCTACTCACCTACCTACTCACCTACCTACTCACCTACCTACTCACCCACCTACTCACCTACCTACTCACCTACTCACCTACCTACTCACCTACCTACTCACCTACTCACCTACCTACTCACCTACCCACCTACCTACTCACCTACTCACCTACCTACTCACCTACTCACCTACCTACTCACCTACCTACCGCCTACTCACCTGCCTCCGTACTCACCCACTCGCTTACCCACTCACTGATCTACTCACCTACCTCCGCACCTACGCACCAACCCACCCACTCACCTACCCACTCACCTACCCACTCACCCACCCACTCACCCACCCACTCACCCACCCACTCACCCACCCACTCACCCACCCACTCACCTACCCACTCACCCACCCACTCACCTACCCACTCACCCACCCACTCACCTACCCACTCACCCACTCACCTACCCACTCACCTACCCACTCACCCACCCACTCACCTACCCACTCACCTACCCACTCACCCACCCACTCACCCACCCACTCACCTACCCACTCACCCACTCACCTACCCACTCACCTACCCACTCACCCACCCACTCACCTACCCACTCACCCACTCACCTACTCACTCACTCACCTACCCACTCACCCACTCACCTACCCACTCACCTACCCACTCACCCACTCACCTACCCACTCACCTACCCACTCACCCACCCACTCACCCACCCACTCACCTACCCACTCACCCACTCACCTACCCACTCACCTACCCACTCACCCACCCACTCACCTACCCACTCACCTACCCACTCACCCACTCACCTACCCACTCACCTACCCACTCACCCACCCACTCACCTACCCACTCACCTACCCACTCACCCACCCACTCACCCACCCACTCACCTACCCACTCACCCACTCACCTACCCACTCACCTACCCACTCACCCACCCACTCACCTACCCACTCACCCACTCACCCACCCACTCACCTACCCACTCACCTGTCCCCCCTGTTCGCCTCTAGCAGGCTGTAGGGGCAGGTTCTGTAGTGAGACACCGGCAGTGAGACACCAGCAGTGAGACACCAGCAGTGAGACAGCAGACACCAGCAGTGAGACACCGGCAGTGAGACACCAGCAGTGAGACACCGGCGGTGAGACACCAGCAGTGAGACACCAGCGGTGAGACACCAGCAGTGAGACACCAGCAGTGAGACACCAGCGGTGAGACACCGGCGGTGAGACACCAGCAGTGAGACACCGGCAGTGAGACACCAGCAGTGAGACACCAGCAGTGAGACACCGGCAGTGAGACACCAGCAGTGAGACACCGGCAGTGAGACACCAGCGGTGAGACACCGGCAGTGAGACACCAGCGGTGAGACACCAGCAGTGAGACACCAGCGGTGAGACACCGGCAGTGAGACACCGGCGGTGAGACACCAGCGGTGAGACACCAGCGGTGAGACACCAGCGGTGAGACACCAGCGGTGAGACACCAGCGGTGAGACACCAGCAGTGAGACACCAGCAGTGAGACACCAGCAGTGAGACACCAACAGTGAGACACCAGCAGTGAGACACCAGCGGTGAGACACCAGCGGTGAGACACCAGCGGTGAGACACCAGCAGTGAGACACCAGCAGTGAGACACCAGCAGTGAGACACCAGCAGTGAGACACCAGACACCAGCGGTGAGACACCAGCAGTGAGACACCAGCAGTGAGACACCGGCAGTGAGACACCAGCGGTGAGACACCAGCAGTGAGACACCAGCAGTGAGACACCAACAGTGAGACACCGGCGGTGAGACACCAGCAGTGAGACACCAGCGGTGAGACACCAGCAGTGAGACACCGGCAGTGAGACACCAGACACCAGCAGTGAGACACCATCAGTGAGACACCAGCAGTGAGTCACCAGCAGTGAGACACCAGCAGTGAGACACCAGCAGTGAGACACCATCAGTGAGACACCAGCAGTGAGACACCGGCAGTGAGACACCAGCAGTGAGACACCAGCAGTGAGACACCAGCAGTGAGACACCGGCAGTGAGACACCAGCAGTGAGACACCAGCAGTGAGACACCAGCAGTGAGACACCAGCGGTGAGACCCCAGCGGTGAGACACCGGCAGTGAGACACCAGCAGTGAGACACCAGCAGTGAGACACCAGCAGTGAGACACCAGCAGTGAGACACCAGCAGTGAGACACCAACAGTGAGACACCAACAGTGAGACACCAGCAGTGAGACACTAGCAGTGAGACACCAGCGGTGAGACACCGGCAGTGAGACACCAACAGTGAGACACCAACAGTGAGACACCAGCAGTGAGACACCAGCGGTGAGACACCAGCGGTGAGACACCAGCAGTGAGACACCAGCGGTGAGACACCAGCAGTGAGACACCAGCAGTGAGACACCAGCAGTGAGACACCAGCGGTGAGACACCAGCAGTGAGACACCAGCGGTGAGACACCAGCAGTGAGACACCAGACACCAGCAGTGAGACACCAGCAGTGAGACACCAGCGGTGAGACACCAGCAGTGAGACACCAGCAGTGAGACACCAGACACCAGCAGTGAGACACCAGCGGTGAGACACCAGACACCAGCGGTGAGACACCAGCAGTGAGACACCAGCAGTGAGACACCAGCAGTGAGACACCAGCGGTGAGACACCAGCGGTGAGACACCAGTGGTGAGACACCAGCAGTGAGACAGCAGCAGTGAGACACCAGCAGTGAGACACCAACAGTGAGACACCAACAGTGAGACACCAGACACCAGCAGTGAGACCCCAGCAGTGAGATACCAGCAGTGAGACACCGGCAGTGAGACACCAGCAGTGAGACACCAGCAGTGAGACACCGGCAGTGAGACACCAGCAGTGAGACACCAGCAGTGAGACACCAGCAGTGAGACACCGGCAGTGAGACACCGGCGGTGAGACACCAGCAGTGAGACACCAGCAGTGAGACACCGGCAGTGAGACACCAGCAGTGAGACACCAGCAGTGAGACACCGGCAGTGAGACACCGGCGGTGAGACACCAGCAGTGAGACACCAGCAGTGAGACACCAGACACCAGCAGTGAGACACCAGCAGTGAGACACCAGCAGTGAGACACCAGCGGTGAGACACCGGCGGTGAGACACCGACGGTGAGACACCAGCGGTGAGACACCAGCAGTGAGACACCAGCGGTGAGACACCAGCGGTGAGACACCAGCAGTGAGACACCAGCGGTGAGACACCAACAGTGAGACACCAGCAGTGAGACACCAGCAGTGAGACACCAACAGTGAGACAGCAGCAGTGAGACACCAGCAGTGAGACACCAGCAGTGAGACACCAGCAGTGAGACACCAGACACCAGCAGTGAGACACCAACAGTGAGACAGCAGCAGTGAGACACCAGCAGTGAGACACCAGCAGTGAGACACCAGCAGTGAGATACCAGCAGTGAGACACCAGACACCAGCAGTGAGACACCAGCAGTGAGACACCAACAGTGAGACAGCAGCAGTGAGACACCAGCAGTGAGACACCAGCAGTGAGACACCAGCAGTGAGACACCAGCGGTGAGACACCAGCGGTGAGACACCAGACAGCAGCAGTGAGACACCAACAGTGAGACACCGGCAGTGAGACACCAGACACCAGCAGTGAGACACCAGCAGTGAGACACCAGCAGTGAGACACCAGCAGTGAGACACCAGCAGTGAGACACCAGCAGTGAGACACCAGCAGTGAGACACCAGCAGTGAGACACCAGACACCAGCAGTGAGACACCAGCAGTGAGACACCAGCAGTGAGACAGCAGCAGTGAGACAGCAGTGCGTACCCCTGATGTCTCTCTCTCTCTGTCTCTCTGTGTGTGACCCCAGGTAAGATTCTGAGCGATGAGTCTGCAGTCTGTGACTACAACATTGACGAGAAGAGCTTCGTGGTTGTCATGGTAACCAAGGTGAGGTACCCATAGCAACCGGGATGAAGTTACCCATAGCAACCGGGGTGTGGTCCCATTAGCAACCGGGGTGTGGTCCTCATAGCAACCCGGGTGAGTTACCCATAGCAACCGAGATGAGGTACCCATAGCAATCAGAATGTGGTCGCATTGGCAACCGGAGTGTGGTCCCATGAGCAACCGGGGATGTCCCCATAGCAACCGAGGTGAGATACCCATAGCAACCGGGGATGTCCCCATAGCAACCGAGGTGAGATACCCATAGCAACCGGAATGAGGTACCCATAGCAACCGGGGAAGTCCCCATAGCAACTGAGGTGAGATACCCATAGCAACCGGGATGAGGTACCCATAGCAACCGGGGTGTGGTCCTCACAGCAACCGGGGAAGTCCCCATAGCAACCGAGGTGAGATACCCATAGCAACCGGGATGAGGTACCCATAGCAACCGGGGTGTGGTCCTCATAGCAACCGGGGATGTCCCCATAGCAACCGAGGTGAGATACCCATAGCAACCGGGATGAGGTACCCATAGCAACCGGGGTGTGGTCCTCACAGCAACCGGGATGAGTTACCCATAGCAACTTCAATGTGGTCCCATTAGCAACCGGAGTGTGGTCCTCATAGCAACCGGGGTGAGGGACCCTTAGCAACCGGGGTGAGGTGTCCATAGCAACCGGGTTAAGGTATGTGTAGATGGTGTCCATGGTAATGTTGACCGTGATGTTGATATTGATGGTGACGATGATGGTCATGTTCATGGTGGTGATGGTGGTGGTGATGATGATGTTGATAGTGGTGATGTTGATGGTGGTGATGATGTTCATGGTGGTGATGATGATGTTCATGGTGGTGATGATGATGATGATGTTCATGGTGGTGATGATGATGATGATGTTCATGGTGGTGATGTTGATGGTGACGATGATGGTCATGTTGATGGTGATGATGTTGATGGTGGTGATGTTGATGGTGGTGGTGGTGATGATGATGTTGATAGTGGTGATGTTGATGGTGGTGATGTTCATGGTGGTGATGTTGATGATGGTGGTGATTATGATGATGTTGATGGTGGTGATGTTGATGGTGGTTATGTTTATGGTGGTGATGATGATGTTGATGGTGGTGATGTTGATGACGGTGGTGATGATGTTCATGGTGATGATGATGATGTTGATTATGTTGATGGTGGTGATGATGATGTTCATGGTGGTGATGTTGATGGTGACGATGATGGTCGTGTTGATGGTGGTGATGTTGATGGTGGTGATGATGATGTTAATGGTGGTGATGATGATGTTGATGATGATGGTGGTGACGATGATTATGGTGATGATGATTGTGGTGATGATGATGTTGATGGTGGTGATGTTCATGGTGGTGATGTTCATGATGGTGATGATGTTGATGGTGGTGATGATGGTGGTGGTGGTGGTGATGATGGCGGTGGTGATGATCATGATGGTGGTGGTGTTGATGATGATGGTGGTGTTCATGATGATGATGGTGGTGATGATCATGATGGTGGTGTTGATGATGGTGGTGATGTTGATGGTGGTGATGATGATGGTGGTGATGATGTTGGTGATGATGATGATGATGTTGATGATGGTGGTGATGATGATGATGTTGATGGTGGTGATGATGATGATGTTGATTGTGGTGATGTTGATGGTGGTGATGTTGATGGTGGTGATGGTGGTGATGTTGATGGTGATGATGTTGATGATGGTGGTGATGTTGATGGTGGTGATGGTGGTGATGATGATGTTGATGGTGGTGATGATGTTGATTGTGGTGATGATGATGATGATGTTGATGGTGGTCATGATGATGTTGATTGTGGTGATGTTGATGGTGGTGATGTTGATGGTGGTGATGGTGGTTATGTTGATGATGGTGGTGATGTTGATGGTGGTGATGATAATGATGTTCATGGTGGTGATGATGATGTTGATGGTGGTGATGATGATGATGTTGATTGTGGTGATGATGATGTTGATTGTGGTGATGTTGATGGGGATGATGTTGATGGTGGTGTTCGTGGTGATGTTGATTGTGGTGATGATGATGATGATGTTGATAGTGGTGATGTTGATTGTAGTGGTGATGTTCATGGTGGTGGTGATGATGATGATGATGGTGGTGATGATAATGATGTTGATGGTGGTGATGATGATGTTGATGGTGGTGATGATGATGATGTTGATTGTGGTGATGATGATGTTGATTGTGGTGATGTTGATGGTGGTGATGTTGATGGTGGTGATGATGATGGTGATGATGATGATGGTGATGATGATGATGGTGGTGATGGTGGTGATGTTGATGATGTTGATGGTGGTGGTGATGATGATGTTGATGGTGGTGGTGATGAGGATGGTGATGATGATGGTGATGATGATGGTGATGATTGTGGTGATGATGATGGTGGTGATGATGGTGATGATGATGATGATGGTGATGATGATGGTGATGATGATGGTGATGATGATGGTGGTGATGATGGTGATGATGATGATGGTGATGATGATGGTGATGATTGTGGTGATGATGATGGTGGTGATGATGGTGATGATGATGATGGTGATGATGATGGTGATGATGATGGTGATGATGATGGTGATGATGATGATGGTGATGATGGTGATGATGATGGTGATGATGTAGATGATGATGTAGATGATGATGGTGATGATGTAGATGATGGTGATGATGGTGATGATGGTGATGATGATGATGGTGATGATGATGGTGATGATGATGGTGATGATGATGGTGATGATGTCTCCTCTTCCCCCTCCCTCCCCCCTCAGCCCAAGCCAGCCCCTCCCCCCATCCCCCCGGCTCCCACCGAAGCCCCTCCCCCCATCCCCCCAGCCCCGGCAACCACCCCGGCAACCACCCCCCCAGCCACGCCCACCCCTGGGCCGGCCACGCCCACCACGCCCATGCAAGGGCAGGCCACGCCCACCGTGGCCACGTCCACCTCCAACCCAGCCACGCCCTCCGCTACCCTAGAAGAAAAAGAGGCAGGGCCCGAAGTGGTGGAGGCCACGCCCACGGGGGAGGGGCCCGGGGTGACGGAGACCACGCCCCCAGGGGAGGAGGCCACGCCCACAGCAGAGGAGGAGCAGGAAGTGGCTGCGAGGTGAGGCCTCATTACTATTAATGTGGGCGTGGTCAAGCTTCATTTATATTCATGAGGGTTGGGCGTGGTCAATTGTTATTAATATTCATGAAGGTGGGAGTGTTGATGGTGATGTTGATGGTGATGTTAATGTTGATAGTGATGGTGATAGTGGTCGTGATAGCGATGGTGTTTTTGATGGTAATGTTGTTGATGTTGATAGTGATGGTGATGTTGTTGATGGTGATTGTGATGTTGATGGTGATGTTGATGTTGCAGTGATATTGGAAATCAAAACCTGGCAAAGGAGGCTGCATCGGCTCTGGGTAAAATTAATAACATCACCATCATCAACATCACCATCATCAACATCACCATCACCACCACCATCATCACCACCACCACCACCATCATCACCACCACCATCAACATCACCATCCACACCATCAAAATCAACGTCACCATCAACAACACCATCATCAACAACATCACCACCATGATCATCATCACCACCACCATCACTACTGTCTGCGTGTGTCTCTGTGAGTGTCTCTGTGTGTGTCTCTGTGTATCTCTGTGTGTGTCTCTGTGAGTGTCTCTGTGTATCTCTGTGTGTCTCTGTGTATCTCCGTGTGTCTGTGAGTGTTTCTGTGTATCTCTGTGTGTCTCTGTGTATCTCTGTGTGTCTCTGTGTATCTCTATGTGTCTCTGTGTATCTCCGTGTGTCTGAGTGTTTCTGTGTATCTCTGTGTGTCTCTGTATCTCTGTGTCTTTGTGTATCTCTGTGTGTCTGTGTGTCTCTGTGAGTATCTCTGTGTATCTCTGTATGTCTGTGTCTCTGTGGCTCTGTAAGTGTCTCTGTGTGTTTGTGGGTGTCTCTTTGTGTCTGTGTCTGTGTGTGTCTCTGTGGCTCTGTGAGTGTCTCTGTGTATCTCTGTGTGTCTCTATCTCTGTGTGTCTTTGTGTATCTCTGTGTGTCTCTATCTCTATGTGTCTTTGTGTATCTCTGTGTGTCTGTGTGTCTCTGTGAGTATATCTGTGAGTATCTATGTGTATCTCTGTATGTCTGTGTCTCTGTAAGTGTCTGTGTGTTTGTGAGTGTCTGTGTGTGTCTCTGTGGCTCTGAGTCTCTGTCTATTTCTGTGTGTCTCTGTATTTCTGTGTGTCTTTGTGTATCTCTGTGTGTCTGTGTGTCTGAGTATCTCTGTGAGTATCTGTGTGTCTGTGTGGCTCTGTGAGTGTTTCTGTGTATCTCTGTGTCTCTATATCTCTGTGTGTCTTTGTGTATCTCTGTGAATATCTCTGTGTCTGTGTCTCTGTGGCTCTGAAAGTGTCTCTGTGTGTCTCTGTGTGTTTTGTGAGTGTCTCTGTGTGTCTGTCTGTGTCTCTGTGGCTCTGTGAGTGGTTATGTGTATCTCTGTGTGTCTCTGTATCTCTGTGTGTCTTTGTGTGTCTGTGTGTCTCTGTGAGTATCTCTATCTCTGTGAATATCTCTGTATCTGTGTCTCTGTCGCTCTGAAAGTGTCTCTGTTTGTCTCTGTGTTTGTGAGTGTCTCTGTGTGTGTCTCTGTGGCTCTGTGAGGGTTCTGTGTATCTCTGTGTGTCTCGGTATCTCTGTGTGTCTTTGTGTATCTCTGTGTGTCTCTGTATCTCTGTGTGTCTGTGTGTCTCTGTGAGTATCTCTGTGAGTATCTCTGTGTATCTCTGTATGTCTGTGTCTCTGTGGCTCTGTAAGTGTCTTTGTGTGTCTCTCTGTGTTTGTGAGTGTCTCTGTGTGTGTCTCTGTATCTCTGTTTGTCTTTGTGTATCTCTGTGTGTCTCTGTGGCTCTGTGAGTGTTTCTGTGTATCTCTGTGTGTCACTGTACCTCTGTATGTCTGTGTGTCTCTGTGAGAGTATCTTTGAGTATCTCTGTGTATCTCTGTGTGTCTGTGTCTTTGTAAGTGTCTCTGTGTGTCTATGTGTGTTTGTGAGTGTCTCTGTGTGTCTCTGTGTGTCTGTGAGTGTTTCTGTGTATATCTGTGTCTCTGTATTCCTGTGTGTCTTTGTGTATCTCTGTGTGTCTTGTGAGTATCTCTGTGAGTATCTCTGTGTGTCTCTGTCTCTGTGGCTCTGTAAGTGTCTCTGTGTGTTTGTGAGTGTCTCTGTGTGTCTGTGTGTGTCTCTGTGGCTCTGTGTATCTCTGTGTCTCTGAGTATCTCTGTGAGTATCTGTGGCTCTGAAAGTGTCTCTGTGTGTCTGCGTGTGTCTCTGTGGCTCTGTGAGTGTCTCTTGTGTGTCTGTGTATGTCTCGGCGAGTGTCTGCGTGTGTCTCTGTGTCTCCCTTTGTCTCTCTGTCTCTGCGAGTGTTTGTGTCTCTGCAAGTGTCTCTACGAGTGTCTGTGTGCCTCCGTGTGGCTCCGTGTGTCTCTGTGCGTCTCTGCAAGTGTCTCTGTGTTTCTCTTTGTGAGTGTCTCTGTGTATATCTGTGTGTCTTTGTGTGTCTCTGTGTGGGTATGTGTGTTTCTGCGTCTCTGTGTGTCTCAGTGACTGGCCAGGCCTATGAACAGATGGTACAAGAGATGGTGTCTATGGGATATGAAAGATCCAAAGTCGTTTCTGCTCTGAGGGCAAGCTACAACAACCCAGACAGAGCGGTGGAATACCTGCTAACGGTACTCACTCGCTGATAGACTCACTCGCTCATAGACTCACTCGCTCATAGACTCACTCGCTCATAGACTCACTCGCTCATAGACTCACTCGCTCATAGACTCACTCGCTCATAGACTCACTCGCTCATAGACTCACTTACTCACTCATACACGCACAGAAACGCCCAATAACTTAGCCGTCGACTCACTCGCTCATAGACTCACTCGCTCATAGACTCACTCATAGACTCACTCATAGACTCACTCACTCATAGACTCACTCACTCATAGACTCACTCACTCGTAGACTTACTCACTCATAGACTCACTCACTCAGACTCACTCACTCATAGACTCACTCACTCATAGACTCACTCACTCATAGACTCACTCACTCATAGACTCACTCGCTCATAGACTCACTCGCTCATAGACTCACTCGCTCATAGACTCACTCGCTCATAGACTCACTCGCTCATAGACTCACTCACTCATAGACTCACTCACTCATAGGTTCACTCACTCATAGGTTCACTTACTCATAGACTCACTCACTCATAGACTCACTCACTCATAGACTCACTCACTCATCGGTTCACTCACTCATAGGCTCACTCATAGACTCACTCATAGACTCACTCACTCATAGACTCACTCACTCATAGACTCACTCACTCATAGACTTACTCACTCATAGACTCACTCACTCATAGACTCACTCACTCATAGACTCACTCACTCATAGACTCACTCACTCATCGACTCACTCACTCATAGACTCACTCACTCACTCATAGACTCGCTCACTCATAGACTCACTCACTCACTCATAGACTCACTCACTCATAGACTCACTCACTCATAGACTCGCTCACTCATAGACTCGCTCACTCATAGACTTACTCACTCATAGACTCACTCACTCATAGACTCACTCACTCATAGACTCACTCACTCATAGACTCACTCACTCATAGACTCACTTACTCATAGACTCACTCACTCATAGACTCACTCACTCATAGACTCACTCACTCATAGACTCACTCACTCATAGACTCACTTACTCATAGATTCACTCACTCATAGACTCACTCACTCATAGACTCACTTACTCATAGATTCACTCACTCATAGACTTACTCCATCATGGACTCACTCACTCATGGAACTCACTCACCCATAGACTCACTCACTCATAGACTCACTCACTCATGGGCTCACTCACTCATAGACTTACTCACTCATAGACTCACTCATAGACTCACTCACTCATAGACTCACTCACTCATAGACTCACTCATAGACTCACTCACTCATAGATTTACTCACTCATAGACTCACCCATAGACTCACTCACCCATAGACTCACTGACTCATGGACTCACTCACCCATAGACTCACTCACCCATAGACTCACTCACTCATAGACTCACTCACTCATCGACTCACTCATGGGCTCACTCACTGAGACTCACTCACTCATAGACTCACCCATAGACTCACTCACTCATAGACTCACTCATAGACTCACTCACTCATAGAATCTCTCACTCATAGACTCACTCACTCATAGACTCACTGACTCATAGACTCACTCACGCATAGACTCACTCACTCACTCATAGACTCACTCACTCATAGACTCACTCATAGACTCACTCACTCATAGACTCACTCACTCACCCATAGACTCACTCACTCATAGACTCACTCACTCATAGACTCACTCACTCATAGACTCACTCACTCATAGACTCACTCACTCATAGACTCACTCACTCATCGGTTCACTCACTCATAGGCTCACTCATAGACTCACTCATAGACTCACTCACTCATAGACTCACTCACTCATAGACTCACTCACTCATAGACTCACTCACTCATAGACTCACTCGCTCGTGACTCCCCTTGTCTCCCCGAGTCTCCCCGTGACTCCCCAAGTCTCCCCGTGTCTCCCCGTGTCTCCCCGAGTCTCCCCGAGTCTCCCCGTGTCTCCCCGTGACTCCCCGAGTCTCCCCGTGACTCCCCGAGTCTCCCCGTGTCTCCCCGTGTCTCCCCGAGTCTCCCCGTGACTCCCCGAGTCTCCCCGTGTCTCCCCGTGTCTCCCCGTGTCTCCCCGAGTCTCCCCGTGACTCGCTGAGTCTCCCCGTGACTCCCCGAGTCTCCCCGTGTCTCCCCGAGTCTCCCCGAGTCTCCCCGAGTCTCCCCGAGTCTCCCCGTGACTCCCCGAGTCTCCCCGTGACTCCCCGAGTCTCCCCGTGTCTCCCCGAGTCTCCCTGAGTCTCCCCGTGACTCCCCGAGTCTCCCCGTGTCTCCCCGTGTCTCCCCGTGTCTCCCCGAGTCTCCCCGTGACTCGCTGAGTCTCCCCGTGACTCCCCGTGTCTCCCCGAGTCTCCCCGAGTCTCCCCGAGTCTCCCCGTGTCTCCCCGTGACTCCCCGAGTCTCCCCGTGACTCCCCGAGTCTCCCCGAGTCTCCCCGAGTCTCCCTGAGTCTCCCCGTGACTCCCCGAGTCTCCCCGTGTCTCCCCGTGTCTCCCCGTGTCTCCCCGAGTCTCCCCGTGACTCGCTGAGTCTCCCCGTGACTCCCCGAGTCTCCCCGTGTCTCCCCGAGTCTCCCCGAGTCTCCCCGAGTCTCCCCGTGTCTCCCCGTGACTCCCCGAGTCTCCCCGAGTCTCCCCGTGACTCCCCGAGTCTCCCCGAGTCTCCCCATGTCTCCCCGAGTTCCCCTGAGTCTCCCCGTGTCTCCCCGCGACTCCCCGAGTCTCCCCATGTCTCCCCGAGTCTCCCTGAGTCACCCCGTGTCTCCCCGAGTCTCCCCGTGACTCCCTGAGTCTCCTCGCGTCCGCAGGGCATCCCAGGTTCTTCGGGATCAGCTCCGGAATCCGTTCATGCTGGGGCTCCGTCTCTTACCGTGGATGTCCCCACGGATCCCACCACCACCTCCTCCACCTCCACTACCACCACCACCACCTCTTCCTCAACCACCTCCTCAACCCCCTCAACCACCACCACCACCACCACCTCCTCAACCTCAACGCCTGCAGCAGCAGCAGCAGCTTCACAGCCTTCACCCCAACGGAGACAGAACACAGGTGATGGTGGTGTTGATGGTGGTGTTGATGGTGGTGTTGATGGTGGTGTTAATGTTGATGGTGGTGTTGATGTTGATGGTGTTAATGTTGATGGTGGTGTTAATGTTGATGGTGGTGTTAATGTTGATGGTGGTGTTAATGTTGATGGTGTTAATGTTGATGGTGTTAATGTTGATGGTGGTGTTGATGTTGATGGTGTTAATGTTGATGGTGGTGTTAATGTTGATGGTGGTGTTAATGTTGATGGTGTTAATGTTGATGGTGGTGTTGATGTTGGTGGTGTTAATGTTGATGGTGGTGTTAATGTTGATGGTGGTGTTAATGTTGATGGTGGTGTTAATGTTGATGGTGTTAATGTTGATGGTGTTAATGTTGATGGTGGTGTTGATGTTGATGGTGTTAATGTTGATGGTGGTGTTAATGTTGATGGTGGTGTTAATGTTGATGGTGGTGTTAATGTTGATGGTGGTGTTGATGTTGATGGTGTTAATGTTGATGGTGTTAATGTTGTTAATGTTGATGGTGGTGTTGATGTTGATGGTGTTGATGTTGTTAATGTTGATGGTGGTGTTGATGGTGGTGTTAATGTTGATGGTGTTGATAGTGGTGATGGTGGTGGTGGTGATGGTGGTTATGTTGATAGTGATGTTGATGGTGGTTATGTTGATGGTGGTGATGGTGGTGGTGATGTGTGTTTGGTGTCTTTGTGTGAGTGGTACTGGCTGTGTGTGTCTGTCCTTGACCCTCTGCTCACGATCATTAAGGACCTTAATGATGGTGAGCGGGCCCGGGCTAAACTACGTGGCCGGGAGTCAGAGCCATTCCCTGTACACCTTGGGGTGTGACAGGGATGTCCTCTGGCTCCCACATTATTTAACATCTATTTTGACCACGTTCGTGAAGCCTTCAATAGCTGTACCGGGGGAATCTCCATTTGGTACAGATATAATGGGAAGCTGATCGATGCCCGGGTGCGGTCCAGGGATGGCTCCCTATTGCTCAACCATGTTATGTATGCCGATGATCTGGTAATTGCTGCTCACTCAGAGTAGGAGTTGGAGGCGCTGCTGCTGAACCTGGAGCTTGCCACCAAGAGGTGGGGCCTTACCATCAGCCCCACCAAAACTAAGCACCTGCCTGGGTATTTAGTACCATCAGACACTCCACCCCCACAACTCCCAATTGGTGATAGGGCAGTTGTGGAGAGAGTGGAGAGTTTCCCATACCTGGGCAGTGTGCTCATGACCGGCTCCGGTTTAACAGCAGAGGTCTCACTCCGAATCAGTCGAGCGGCATTATCTTTTCATCGGTTGCGTAACGCTGTGTGGAAGCTACCTGGTCTATCGCTCCACATGAAGCTTCAGGTCTTCTCGGCCACGGTCATTCCCTTCCTTCTCTACGCTTGCGAAACGTGAACCCCCCTAATGGAACATCTTCACCGGTTAGAAACATTTAGGCTGGCCTGCCTATGATCCATCCTGGGTTCAACCAGGCTGGATTGTGTGAGGAGCTCACAAATCCTTGAAAGATCTGGACAAAGTCCCATCGGTGAGCTCCTCCGGCAGGCAAGGCTGTGTTGGCTGGGTCATGTAGCCCACATGCCCAGCCACCGCATGCCTAAACAGCTTTTGTTCGGCTGGATCGAGGGGACTAAGCGGGTGCGGCACAGGCTAGAGAAGAGATGGAGTGGTATGGGAGGATGTGGAGCTGAGTGGACTTGCCGATGACTGGTACCAGCGGTGTCAAGATCGGCCTCTGTGGAGGAGGCTCGTTAAGGACGCTACTGGGGAGTTGGAGGCAGTCGTCCTCCAACAACAACGGAGGGCGGCGGAGGAGCGACGCTCACAACAACGAGCGGATGCCCTCTGGCTCCCACATTATTTAACATCTATTTCAACCACGTAGTTCGTGAAGCCTTCTATGGCTGTACCAGAGGATTTTCCATCTGGTAAAGATACAATGGGAGGCTGATCGATGCCCGGGTGCGGTCAAGGGATTGCTCCCTATTGGTCAACCACGCTGATCGTATGTGGATCATCTGGTGATTGCTGCATTGGAGGCGCTGCTGCTGAACCTGGAGCGTCCCACTATGAGGTGGGGCCTTACCATCAGCCCCACCAAAACTAAGCACCTGCCTGGGGAGTTTGTGCCATCAAACACTCCACCCCAACAACTCCCAATTGGTGATGGGCCAGTTGCGGAGAGAGTGAAGAGTTTTACTTACCTGGGCAGTGTGCTCATGACCGGCTCCGATTTGACAGCAGAGGACTCCAAATCAGCTAAGCAGCATTATATTTTCATCGGCTGCGTAATGCTGTGTGGAAGCTACCTGGTATGTCGCTCCACACTAAGCTTCGGGTCTTCTCCGCCACGGTCATGCCCTCTCTTATCTACGCTTGCGAAACGTGGTCCCCTCTAATGGAACATCTGCGCCGGTTAGAAACATTAAAGCTGGCATTCCTACAATCCATTCTGCATTTAACCAGGCTGGATTGTGTGAGGAGCCCAAAAAAATCCTTGAAAGATCTGGACACATTCCCATCATTAAGCTGCTCCGGCAGGCAAGGTTGTGTTGGCTGGGTCATGTTGCCCGCATGCCCAGCTACCGCATGCCCAGCTACCGCATGCCCAAGCAGCTTTTGTTCGGCCGGATCGAGGTGGCTAAACGGGCACGCCACGGGCTAGAGAAGAGATGGAGTGATGTGGTACAGGAGGATGTGGAGCTGAGTGGACTTGCCGACGACTGGTACCAGCGGTGTCAAGATCCGCCTCTGTGGAGGAGGCTCGTGAAGGACGCTACTGGGCAGTTGGAGGCAGTCACCCTCCAACAACATCGGAGGGCGGAGGAACAACGCCCACAATAACGAGCAGAGCGCCGGGCGGCTAAAACACAGCAAGTTGGCACAGTAGGGAGCACAGCTGACGCATCTACCAGTCATCTCACTCAGTCAACCCATGGCACCTGCAGGGTCTGTCCCGTGATCTCCTGTTACACTTCACGTAACCTCAAAGTGCACCAGGCCCTGTCACAAGTGGTGCCATCACCATCACTTGGTGGCGATTGGCGGGTATTGGTTGTGGTGGTGATGATGGTGGTGGTGTTGGTGATATTGATGGTGATGTTGATGGTGTTGATGTTGAAGGTGGTAGTGGTGATGGTGGTGTTGGTGATGATGTTGATTTTGGTGGTGGTCATGGTGTTGACGTCCCACTCTAGCCGCATCGAATCCTCTGGAGTTCCTGCGCTCCCAGCCCCAGTTTCAGCAGATGAGGGTGGTCCTGCAGCAGAATCCCTCCCTGCTCCCCGCTCTGCTGCAACAGCTGGGACGGGAAAATCCCCAACTCCTGCAGGTACCCTGCCCCAGTCTCCCCGAGTTTCACCGAATCTCCCCGAGTCTCCCCGCGTCTCCCCGAGTCTCACCGTGTCTCCCCACGTCGCCCCACATTTCCCCCGAGTCTCCTCGTGTCTCACCGTGTCTCCCCACGTCGCCCCACATTTCCCCGAGTCTCCCCGTGTCTCACCGTGTCTCCCCACATCGCCCCACATTTCCCCGAGTCTCCCCGTGTCTCACCGTGTCTCCCCACGTCGCCCCACATTTCCCCGAGTCTCCCCGTGTCTCACCGTGTCTCCCCACGTCGCCCCACATTTCCCCGAGTCTCCCCGTGTCTCACCGTGTCTCCCCACGTCGCCCCACATTTCCCCGAGTCTCCCCGTGTCTCCCCGAGTCTCACCGTGTCTCCCCACGTCGCCCCACATTTCCCCGAGTCTCCCCGTGTCTCACCGTGTCTCCCCACGTCGCCCCACATTTCCCCCGAGTCTCCCCGAGTCTCACCGTGTCTCCCCACGTCGCCCCACATTTCCACGAGTCTCCCCGTGTCTCACCGTGTCTCCCCACGTCGCCCCACATTTCCCCGAGTCTCCCCGTGTCTCACCGTGTCTCCCCACGTCGCCCCACATTTCCCCCGAGTCTCCCCGAGTCTCACCGTGTCTCCCCACGTCGCCCCACATTTCCCCGAGTCTCCCCGAGTCTCACCGTGTCTCCCCACGTCGCCCCACATTTCCCCCGAGTCTCCCCGAGTCTCACCGTGTCTCCCCACGTCGCCCCACATTTCCCCGAGTCTCCCCGTGTCTCACCGTGTCTCCCCACGTCGCCCCACATTTCCCCGAGTCTTCCCGTGTCTCACCGTGTCTCCCCACGTCGCCCCACATTTCCCCGAGTCTCCCCGTGTCTCCCCGTGTCTCCCCGTGTCTCCCCGAGTCTCCCCGCACCTCTCCGCCATAAAGGAGAGGAGGCTCCAGCTCTGTTGCATGCAAATCAGTGACGAGGACAATGTGTGCATCATCGTCATCTATCCTCTATAGAAATACGCTCGGAGACTTTTTTTTACCTGTAACTCTCCGCCCCTCCTAATTGGCTGGTTGGTCGTGGTGACGTCACGCGCTGCAACCAATCGGCGCTTTCGACGTGTGTCTACCTTAACGCAATTTCACTGAGCGACCATCGCGCAGGCTGGCTGGCTCCTTGCTGAGCGTTCCGTCACCTAGTACACATGACCCGTGAACGCGGCGATACAAACTTACGATGGCAAAACAAAGGCGAGACACCCTGTCCGTGCGATAAACCCCCCCCCCGGTGCCGAAAAATGCAACGGTATTTGCCACGCGCCACCATCATCGCTCATTACGGCCGGTCCCCACCTTACGAGCGGGTTCTGTGCCCCCGGAGAGGGGGGCCCGTTGATTGGTCCAAACTGATGACCGTGAGTCGACAAACACCCATTGGGCGAAAGCGCTCCCCCCCCCCACCCCCCCTGCCAAACGCCAATAAGCAACGTGCGAACGCCTGCTCGCTCCGACCAAACGAACCGCCCAACTCAGTTGTTTTTATTTTAGTTTTTTTAGCGGAGGGATCCTGGAATGAGTCCTCGCCTCACCGCTGGGAGGCGCGCCTTGTGGCGAGCGGTTTTTGCGTACGCGCGAGTATGTGTAGCGAGCCGAACTGAGTCGCAGGCATTGTCTTGGGAGCTTAACACATTTTATTTCACCAAACTCGACTCAACGTAACGTAACGTAACGTGTAACCTAACCTGCACTTGGGCGTTGAATGCTCATCGAGCCGCGCAGCGCCAGAACTAGACGCGGCTCATTCTGGAGTGGAAGTTTCCGCGACTGCAAATTGATCCGCACTCTTGGGCTCTTTCGGTAAAGTCCGCGGCAGGGTTAAAAAAAGATTAAAAAAAGAAAGTTGATCAAATCTTCGACACAAGCTTCCGTCATCCGGTGGCAAGGTTGTCTCCCATCCCACTCTTACCCCCGCCCCGCGCTGCCCTCCCCCCCCCCCCCATCCGTGGTGCTTTGACTACCATGCCCATGAGCTTCTCTAATCCCCGTCCCCCACTACTCATCCACACCACCACCACCACCCTGCATCCGTCCTCCCTGGCTCCTCCTCCCCCGTTCTTACCCTATATAATCTCACGTCACAATTAGCTCTCTCTCTCTGTCTCTCTCTACTCACCACAGTAATTTTGCTGTGACTGTTGCCACCTGTGACGGAGGCTTCTTGTGTCGCGGTTCGATTGACTTAATTTTTATTTATTTATTTCACCCACGTGACTCTTCCCGAAAGAGCCAAAGCGTAAAGGCCCGGTTCGCTATCCCGGCCCGGGCCACGAGCTGGGTCCCGGGCCGCGTGGCTGGAGGGTTCTGTTACCCGACACGTGGATCTTCTTCCCCAGCGGCACGAAGTTCCCCGAGCCCCTCACGGGGCCCCCCCCCCGTTCTATCGGCCCGGGCTGGGGCCGGCTCCGCCCCTCGCCCCGCCCACCTTCTAGATCTCTCCGGCTGTTATTATTTCATTCTCATTCTACGTGGTTGGTGACTTTTACCGAAAGAACCAAAGAAGATGAATCATTGCAGTCACGAAAGCTTCAAATCGAAAACATTTAAAATCTCTCCGGCTCTTTCCCCGAAGGCTCCCGAGAGCTCCTTTTAGACCACGTGACCGCCCAGCGGCCCCCAGTCCACCGGTGGTCCCCCTCCCAATATCGTCCGGCCACGTGTCAGCAGGTCGAACCAGCGTGTCGTGCCCCAACGTAACCCTGGCTGGCTGACGCTCCCTCTGGCTCCATCACCGGGAGCCCGGCCACCGCACGCCGCTCGTGGTGCCTCCGCGCTGACCAGCGCCCGCCCAAGCCCCCCGCTAGGGCCCGGTGCCACGCCCAGTAAGCGGGCTGCACGTAATTCGCCATTCTGGCGAATTGCCCGATGATGATGCTGGTGATGTATTTACCAGCGAAACGTCACAGTACAACTCAAACTGTAAATGTTGTGGATTAACTCTTCAACACACCGGTGGGCTGAAGTAGTGAATTATTTTGTGTCTTTTGTCAACGTGACACTTTTTTTTTGCTGATTGGCCGTGTCGGGTGGTGGAGGGTTACGACACATTTGTAAATAAACGCGATCTAACCCAAAAACCTTTATTATGAATGGCAACACATTATCCACCGCCGTGGCTTCGTAAGCCCGGCACCACACGGTGACAATCACAGTCACTGCATCTGTGAGCGTGTTTGTGATTTGTGTCTTGTGTCAGGAGCGGTAGTGTAGTGGTTAGCGCTACGCTGCGCTATGAACCTGGCGACCCGGGTTCGATTCCCGCTCACGGCCAACACCAAGTGACGATTATCTGAACCGGTCCCGGGCTTCCCCTAGGTCGACTCGGCCTCAAATGAGTACCTGGTGCGGTGTGTAGTAAACATCGCTACTAGAGAGACAAAGGCGGTCGGGCGTGGTGCTGGACACCCACCACCTCGTGTGCTTTGCCGGCCTTCATTAGGGGCTGCTCGCTAAACAGCGCTTTGCCTCAACAGTCTGCTCAGGCGAGACGGGGGATCTTTGTGTGTGTGTGTGAAAGTGTCTGTGTGTGTGTGTGTCTTTGGAGCGATAGTGTAGTAGCGGTTAGCGCTACGCTGTGCTATGAACCCGGCGACCCGGGTTCGATTCCCGCTCATGGCCAACACCAAGTGACGATTATCTGAACCGGTCCCGGGCCTCCCCTAGGTCGACTCAGCCTCAAATGAGTACCTGGTGCGGTGTGTAGTAAACATCGTCACTGGGGAGACAAAGGCGGCCGGGCGTGGTGCTGGCCACCCACCCCCTCGTGTACCGTTACCGGCTTTCGTAGGTGCTCGCTAACAGCACTTGCCCCTACAGTCTTGTTAAGGCTATACGAGGGATCTTTGTCTTTGGAACAGACCCCCTTGGTAAAATCCTCGCTGGAGGTCCACGAGTTCCTGCTCGTTATCATCATCATCACAGCGCATTGTCCTTGTCCTGGATGCCACTCGGCATAGTTCTCGGGTCTAACTCCCCGCTGTCTCCGCCCATAGCAAATCTCCCAGCACCAGGAGCAGTTCATCTCCATGCTGAACTCTCCCAGCGAAGGGGGCGGCGGTGATGGCGACGATGGCGACGATGGCGACGATGGCGGTGATGGCGATGGGCTGGGAGGTGCGGCGGGGAGTGGAGGCGGTGGAGTGAATTACATCCAAGTCACGCCCCAGGAGAAAGCGGCGATCGAGAGGGTAAGAGACTTGCCGGTGACACTCGGGGAGACTCGGGGATGGTAATGACACTGATGTTGGTAATGTTAATGTTGCATGCTTGACCCCTCTCTCTAGCTGCGGTGTAGGTCAGGCTACCTGGGTGAGTAATACCTTTACCCGTGTGGAACGGTGTGTGGTGTGGTGAGCAGCTGAAGGATATCTGGGCTTCCCAGAGGGACTCGTAGTCCAGGCCGTACTTCACTCATTCACTCTACCGATGTGTGTGGTGTGGTACGGCGTGGTGTGGTACGGTGTGTGGTGCGGTGTGGTGCGGTGTGGTGTGGTGAGCAGCTGAAGGATCTGGGCTTCCCAGAGGGACTCGTAGTCCAGGCGTACTTCGCCTGTGAGAAGAATGAGAACATGGCCGCCAATTTCCTGCTCCAGCAGCAGGGAGATGGTGATGACTAGCGGGGTGCTTAGAGGGGTGCTTAGAGGGGATAGAGGGTGGGACTCTTAAGGGTACTTATGGGGGACTGGGGGGCGGAGGAGAGAGAGGGGGAGAGAATTACCCCCTCTAAAGACCCCTATACCCCCCTACAGAAACCCCTAAATAGACCGCTACAGAGACCCCTATACCCCCCTACAGAGACCCCTATACCCCCCTACAGAGACCCCTATACCCCCCTACAGAGACCCCTATACTCCCCTACATAGACCGCTACAGAGACCCCTGTCCTCCCCTACAAGGACCCCTACAGAGACACCTACAGGGACCCCTATATTCCCCTACAGAGACCCCTACAGGGACCCCTAAGGACCCCCTAGAGTGATGCCCATGGATGATTTGAGACTCCTAGACCCCTGTAGATCTCCACAGGGACCCCTATGGATAGCCCCATCACTGTGGTTACCATCACTATGGTTTCCATCAACGTGGTTGCCATCTCCATGGTTACCATTGACGTGGTTACCTTAAGTGTGGTTATGAGTGGGGTCCTTGGATTGTTAATCACCATGACAACCACAACAACAACCACGACAAAAAAATACCATCACCACAACCACCAAAACCACAACCACACCAACCACTAAAACTACTGCAGCCACCACAACAACCACCACAACCACCAAAACCCCAAGAACCCACAACTACAACCACCCCACCACAACTACCACAACAACAACTACCACCACAGCCACGAAAAACACCAAAAACAAAACCACCACAACCAACAACAACCGACACAACCACCACAACAACCATTGATGATGATGGGTGTATGAGTAGTAGTGGTTGTGATGGTGGCGATGATAAGTGGTAGTAGTGGTGATTGTAGTTATTGTGGTGGTGGTGATGATAATAGTAGTGGTTGTGGTAATAGCGGTAGTAGTGGCTGTCACAATGCATGTTGATTCTCGTGCCTGTGAAGTTCAAAACGATTTTAATAAAAATATTCACCCCGTGTCTTCTTGGGTCTCTGTGTATCTCTATGGGTCTCTGTGGGTCTCTATGGGTCTCTGTGTCTCACGGTGTCTTTATGGGTGTCTGTGTGTTTGTCTGTCTATCTCTGGAAGCTACCTGGTCTGTCGCTCCGCACGAAGCTTCAGGTCTTCTCGGCCACAGTCATTCCCTCCCTTCTCTACGCTTGCGAAACGTGGACCCCCCTAATGGAGCATCTTCGCCGGTTAGAAACATTTAGGCTGGCCTGCCTACGATCCACCCTGGGTTTAACCAGGCTGGATTGTGTGAGGAGCTCACAAATCCTTGAAAGATCTGGGCAAAGTCCCATCGGTGAGCTCCTCCGGCAGGCAAGGCTGCGTTGGCTGGGTCATGTAGCCCGCATGCCCAGCCACCGCATGCCTAAACAGCTTTTGTTCGGCCGGATCGAGGGGGCTAAACGGGCGCGGCACGGGCTAGAGAAGAGATGGAGTGACGTGGTACAGGAGGACGTGGAGCTGAGTGGACTTGCCGATGACTTACCAGCGGTGTCAGAATCGGCCTCTGTGGAGTAGGCTCGTGAAGGACACTACTGGGCAGTTGGAGGCAGTCGCCCTCCAACAACAACGGAGGGCGGAGGAGCGACGCTCACAACAACGAGCGGAGCGCCGGGTGGCTAAAGCAAAGCAAGTTGGCGCAGTAGGGGGCACAGGTGGTGCATCAGCCAGTCATCTCAGTCATCTTAGTCGACCCGTGGCACCTGGGTCTGCCCCGTGACCTGCTAGCGGGCATTCAACACTTCGTGGCCTCAAGGTGCACATAGCCTGGCACAAGCGTCGTGGTGACGTTCACCGCCACTTGGTGACGTCACCACCACTTAGTGGCGAATGGCGGTTGTGTATCTTTGTGGGTCTCTTGTGTATCTTCCTGTGTCTCTATGGGTCTCTGTGTATCTCTATCGATCTCTATCTCTATTGGTCTGTGTGTATCTTTTTTATTGGGTGCAATTGTGAACAGCCATATCAGACATTACTACATCTAATCGGCATATAATCATTGGTTCACTGCATCACCAAAGACCCAGTACTACAAGGCGTGTGGTGAAGTTAAGAAATGTCCACGTGCTCGGCATTTGAACGTCTGAAGATCAGATTCGGTTGATCTCGCCGACAGTGTGTTCATCAAGGAGGCAGAGTTCCACATTTGGACAGCAGAGTGAAGATGGGAGCTTCTGACCAGGGAGCAATGTGCTTGGTCATAAGGGGGTGGAAGAGTGGCCCGAAGGTTTGTGGCGTGGCAGTGGTTGTTGTGCACTTTGTACCAGGCGACTGTGGCAGCAGTAGCGACTTGGCGACGGTGATGCAGGCTGGGGATGGCGAGTTGCGTGCTGGCGGTGGATGTGTCAACATATTCTTTGTTATTCTTAGTTTTTTCGGTAAAGTCACGTTGAAGAGAAACAACAAAATAACAAAATATATAAAACAATAAAAAATTCTCACGACGTTTCGACCATAACTCAAACGGTCATCATCAGGTGTGGTCGAAACGTCGTGAGAATTTTTTTTTATTGTTTTATATATATTTTGTTATTTTGTTGTTTCTCTTCAACGTGACTTTACCGAAAAAACTAAGAATATGAATTACTGCAGTCACGAAAGCTTTAAATCAAAATATATTCTTTGTTGTTTTTTGTTCTGACTTATTTAACTGTCCTAACTCTGGCATCTCTCCCACTTGAGTAAAAAAAAAAAATCTTGCTGTGGTTGTCACGCCTGATGATGATTGCCCGTGTTGCAATCGAAATGTCGTGATTTATTATATTTTTTCGCCTACGTGACTTTACCGAAAGAACCAAAGAACATGGATCCTCGCAGTCACGAAAACTTCAAATCTAGAATGATGCGTCAACACCAATTCTTTCGGCGCCTTCCTCTGGATGTTGTGGAGATGGTTGAGGTGAGTTGGTGGGGCGTTCTGCCCAGCACAAAGAAGAGGCATACTCCATGACACTGCACACGTGGACTCCGTAGACTGTGGCTTGGCCCTCAGTGTCAAGTTTACTGGCCACAGTGCAACCCAGTTTCTGTCCTGCTCCGAGGGAGATGCTGGTGAGGTGTTTTGACCGATGTGAGCTTGCTGTCAATGGTTAACACCGAGGATCTCGAGCTTGTCGGTTGATGCTAGCTGACAAATCAAAAATGCAGATCCACCTTGGGTGTAATTGTCTTCCGAGATGGTGTCGTGGTCTGGCAATTTGTACGGTTCGAAGGCGATCTTCCATTCCTCTGCCCAGATGTTCGTCTGATGAAGGTCCCTGGTACAGGCGAGGCTGCCACTGCAGCATCGCTTTCTGCAGGCGAATTTATTGGGGAGTGGAGGGTTGAGTCGTCGGCGTAGGGGGGGGCACAGCTGGATTCCCGCAGGCATCCACCAGACCAGATCGTCAATGAAGATGGAGAAGAGAAGTGGACTTGAGAATTGATCCTTGTGGTACAGAGGCGTTGATGGGAGGTTCTGAGACCTGATGGATCAGTTGGAGAGGTCGCTCTGCTGCCGTGTCAGAAGCCGGTCCAGATAGCCCCTTGGTGTGGAGTTTGGTGCACAGGTCCATTGTGCCACACACTTTTGTCAAAGGCTCCTTTGCAGTGACGGGCTCACGGCGCTTCCGCTAGGTGGAGCTGTTGTGCGTGACCTCGGAAAAGATGGCGTTCGAATTGTAGGGGGTTTTTTTTCCCCACCTTTTTTTCTGGCAACAAAAATGAAACCTTTTTTTTTTACAAGGATTCATGTCTGCATTCACCACAATACCTGCGGTCAAATGCAAACAAAAAAACTCCCACTTGTATAATATGTGGCATTGTCCTTGAAACTGATTGGTCCACACCAGAGACGGCTTTCTTTTTTTTCCTTATAAAAATGTTTAAAGTTTTGTTGCCAGAAAAAAGAGGGGAAAACCCTATTATTATTATTATATGTTGGTACTGGCAAAGGAGGTCTAAATGATGTAGATGCTCGCCCCGAGCCCTCATTACTTTGATAGTGGCGTTGTCTTTGAGCTGTGTAGACGCCTTCTGGCATCATCTGGTCGAGCACCAATTGGGTCGAGGCTCAAAAGAAAGCCGTCCCTTGGTGTGGACCAATCAGTTTGAAGGACAATGCATCAGATATTATCATAGTAAAGTGTTTTATTTTTCGATTTAAAGCTTTCGTGACTGCAATGATTCATCTTCTTTGGTTCTTTCGGTAAAGTCACCACCACGTAGAATGAGAATAAAATAATAAATTGATAAAATAAAATAACACAATAATATTCTCACGACGTTTCGGCCACAACACAAGCGGCCTTCATCAGGTGAAGGGACGAGACTGTCTGGTAGGACAGCGCTGTCCTACCAGACAGTCTCATCCCTTGGTGTGGACCAATCAGTTTCAAGGACAATGCATCATATATTATCATAGTGTGTTTTTTGTTGTTGCATTTTGACTGCAAGTATTGTGGTTAATGCAGACACGTTTCCTTGTAAGAAGGTTTCAGTTTTGTTGTTAGAAAAAAAAGGGGAAAACCCCCTATATATTTTGATACTGGCACAGGAGGTCTAATGATGAAGATGGTGTTTTAATTAAGATAAACCTCGTCATGTCATTGGCCTTCCCGTGAAAGTTATATAATTGTCTTTTATCTTCCAGCGGTAGGCATTTATAAACTATACGAAACAAAGCACTCAAATTCAGTTTCCTGTTTTCATTTATCTCCATATATAAGGCAAAGTTGTGATTGTATCTGTTCAAAATGTTTAGCGTATTTCCCGACATGCAACAAACTGGAAATTTGCCATGTGGGTACTTTCCATAATGTACACCATGCAAAAATTATACAAATACACTTTTGTGGGTTTTTTTTGGGGGGAGGGGAGCTCAATAATGCATATTTATATTGCATGGTAAGTGAGCTGTGACGTCTAATCTGTCACGTGACCCGCGCATGTAGAAGCCTAAAGCATTGCAGTGTAGCGGTTAGCGCGCTGTCTGTGTGGGTGTGTGTGTGTGAGTGTCTGTATGTGTGTGAGCGATAGTGTAGCGGTTAGCGCTACGCTGCGCTATGAACCTGGCGACCCGGGTTCGATTGCCGCTCACGGCCAACACCAAGTGACGATTATCTGAACCGGTCCCGGGCCTCCCCTAGGTCGACTCAGCCTCAAATGAGTACCCGGTGCGGTGTGTAAACATTGCCACTAGGGAGACAAAGGCGGTCGGGCGTGGTGCTGGCCACCCACCCCCTCGTGTACCGTTCCGGCCTTCATAGGTGCTCGCTAACAGCACTTGCCCCTACAGTCTGTTAAGGCTATATGGGGGATCTTTGTATGTGTGTGTGGGGGGGGGAGAGCGGTAGTGTAGTGGTTAGCGCTACGAACCCGGCGACCCGAGTTCGATTCCCGCTCACGGCCACCACCGGTGACGATTATTTCAACCGCTCCTGGGCCTCCCCTAGGTCGACTCGGCCTCAAACGAGTGACTGCTGTGTGCTGTGTGAACATCGCCACTGGGGAGACAAAGGCGGCCGGACGTGGTGGATCCAAGTCCCGGGCGAAGCTGGGTAGTGCAGCTAGTTGGGTACAACTCTGTGAGCCATGCGGCTCATGACTCGGGTGCAACCACAACAAAACAAAAGCATGAACAAGAACACATCTTAAAGTGGCTACACGCAACAGAAAAACATCCGTGGTAAAAGCAGCAAAGTCTTCCAGAGAAAACACCGCATTTCAAACGTGCAAAAATCCCGGTGGTGGGATGCAAAATGCTGCCCCCATGCCCCTCAAGTCCACGCTACACAACCCCTTTGACACTGCCAAAAGCGTAGAATGTGTAGGCCGTGACCTGCTAAGTGTGGTCACCACGTCTATGCCTCTACATAAGTAACGAAACTGGTGGACTTCTCCACATTCATACCCTGAATGGGTATCAAAACGGCATGGCTGAAATGCGAAGCTAATAGCAATGAATGAAGGGGAAATCTCTCACTTGGACGCCT